GGGAGGGGAGATTTTGAAGCTTGTGAAGTCCACATTGATACCATTGGGCTGCAGGGTTCCCAAGTGGAATATGAGGTGCTGTTCCTGCAACCTTCAGGTGGCATCGTTGTGGCACTGCAGGAGGCCCAGGATGGACATGTCGTCTGAGGAATGGGAGGGGGAGTTGAAATGGTTCGCAACTGGGAGGTGCAGTTGTTTAGTGCGAACCGAGCGTAGGTGTTCTGCAAAGCGGTCCCCAAGCCTCCGCTTGGTTTCCCTGATGTAGAGGATGTGCAGCTGAACATCTGCTTGATGTGGAAAGTCTTCTTTGGGCCTGGGATGGGGGTGAGGGGGGAGGTGTAAGGGCAGGTGTAGTACTTCCTGTGGATGCAGGGAAAAGTGCCAGGTGTGGTGGGGCTGGAGGGGAGTGTGGAGCGGACAAGGGAGTCCCAGAGAGAGTGGTCCCTCCGGAAGGCAGACAAGGGTGGGGAGGGAAAAATGTCTTTGGAGGTGGGGTTGGATTGCAGATGGCGGAAGTGTCGGAGGATGATGCGTTGGATCCGGAGGTTGGTGGGGTGGTACGTGAGGACGAGGGGGATGCTGTTTCGGTTGTTATTGCGGGGAGGGGGTGTGAGGGATGAGTTGTGGGAAATGCGGGAGACATGGTCAAGGGCATTCTCGACCACTGACGGGGAGGATGTTGCAGTCCTTAAAAAACGAGGACATCGGAGATATACGGGAGTGGAATGCCTCATCCTGGGAGCAGATGCAGCGGAGGCGAAGGAATTGGGAATAGGGGATGGCATTTTTGCAGGAAAGTGGGTGGGAGGAGGTGTATTCTAGGTAGCTGTGGGAGTCAATGGGCTTGAAATGGATATCAGTTTCCAGGTGGTTGCCAGAGATGAAAACAGAGGTCCAGGAAGGAGAGAGAGATATCAGAGATGGTCCAGGTGAACTTAAGGTTGGGGTGGAAGGTGTTGGTGAAGTGGATGAACTGTTCGAGCTCCTCGCGGTTTGAGGTTTGAGGGGATAGATTGAAAATGTTGGGACTGTTCTCCTCACAGAAAAAAATGCTGACAGGAGATTTGATAGAGATTTTCAAAATCACGGGCAGACTGAATAAACTAAACATGTTCCCACTCGTAAAAGGAAGGACGTGAGTATAGAATTAAAACGATGTGCAAATGAACCAAGGGTGATGTGAGAAAAACTTTTTCACATAGCAACTAGTTAAGAAATGGAACGCACTGCCTGGAAATATGGTGGAGGCAGGTTCAATTGAGGCATTCAAAAGGATATTTAATGATTATTTGGATAGTAATGACGTGCAGGAAATGGCAGAACACTGGATAATAAGAACCTGTGCAGGTACGACAAGCCGAATGGACCTCCTTCTGTGCTGGCTGGGACATTTTTTTTGCTGGAGCGTAGGAGGTTGAGGGGTGACCTTATAGAGGTTTACCAAATAATGAGGGGGGATAGATAAGGTGAATAGGTCTTTTCCCTGAGGTAGAGGACTTCAAAACTAGAGGATGTATTTTTAAGGTGAGAAGAGAAAGATTTAAAAAGGAACCTGACAGCAATTTTTTCACACAGAGGGTAGTTCAAATTTGGAATGAACTGCCAGAGGAAGTGATAGATGAAGGTACAGTTACACGTCAAAAAGATATTTGGGCAGGTACATTAATAGGACAGGTTTAGAGGGATATGGGCCAAACACAGGCAAGTGGGACTAGTTTAGTTTGGGTAACTTGGTCCACAAGGCCAAATTGGACCTAAGGGTCTGTTTTTGTACTGTATGACTATGACTCTACAATAATTCTGTGATTCTGAGTCAAAATACATTTTCTGCAGTACACATTGGAATGACTATCTATGACTGCTGGAAAAATACATTTTAGGGTTTCATAGACTGTAGTCAGACAGCTATTCCAAAACACTAAAGGATGCTTCAGAGATAAAACCCACTGAAGATGATGCACATCACAGGGAACCGAGGCCTTAATTGAATCCTGATATTTTGCACTGTATCATATATGTTGCCAGAGAATCATTCTTTGAATCATATCAATGAGGGAACTGGAGGCTTTTGTTTGAAAGGATCTTCAGAGGGAATTGAATATTGCTCAGATACCCACTGCTGGAGAAACTAAAGAGGAATGCAGTTGTATGTCAATCTGCAAAAAAATGCCCCTCCTTATGCTTGTACCAGGAAATCGGGCCAGTTTGTAAGTGCTCTTGTGGCATGCAAAGTGAGTTTATGTTTGTTTCCATATAAGGAGTGGGTGATATCAGTTCTTTTTTCTGAGGAGCATGATTCACTCTGTTTGGCTTTGTCACTCACATGTCCATTGGAATCCATTCTCCATTGGTTTAGAGAATGGCTCATTTTCAAACTCAGACACAGGCAATTCTGCCAAATGGGTATGTGCCACTGTCAATATGAGCCACTTCATGCCTTCCTTCATTGAGCCCCATCTCCATATCCTTTGATGTTCCTTCCACTGCCATGTATTTATTCAGTTTCTCCTCAAATACATCAACGCACTTCATCTCAACTACTGTTTGTGGCGCGCTTATATTAGTAACTACAGTGTCAAACCCTTCTCCTGTGTCCCCAGCTGTGAGCACCTACACACTGGATCCCCTCCCCCACCATGAATCCAGCATAGGCAGCTGCACACTGAACCCCCTCAGACCCAGTGTCAGCATCTACACAATGATCCCTTGGATCCATTCTGGCACCAGCATACTGATCCCCTGAATTAACTCTTACCCTGACCCTCGCTCAATCCAGAGGGTGTGTGTGTCTTCATACTGTCCCACTGTATCTAGTATGAGCGCTTTCACATCCACAACCTGAATCCAGTGTGTATTTTCACACTGACCTACTTGATCCAGTGTGAGTGCTTTCATAGTTATACACTGAATCCAGTTTGAACAGGCCCTGCCTCAGCAGAACCCACATGCGCCAACTGGGGAATGATGTGAGGCAGTACCAGTCACAAGCAATGCTGAAATACCAAACGGCCCCTGATGTACTGAAATTCAGACTCTACAGTACAATACCAGATGTTGGCCATCCTAATCTCCAGTAAGACTATGCCTATGTATTTGAAACTCATAGGTCTTTTAACCTTTGGAAGAGAACACTATTGCATGATAATTTGTAAGAATTCATTCATCTGTGTGGATGTCGCTGGCCAGCCAGCATTTATTGCCCAACCCCAATTTCCCTTGAGAAGATGTTGGCAAGTTGCCTTCTTAAATCACAACAGTCCATGTGCAGTAGTAGACCCACAATGCTCTTAGACAGGGAATTCCAATATTTTCATCCCAGCAACACTGAAGAACAGCAATATATTTAAGTCAGTATGGTGTGTGGCTTGGAGGGGAAGTTGTAGGGCATGGAGTTCTCATGTATCTGCTGTCCTTGTCCTTCTAGGTGAAAGTGGGTGTAGATTTGAAAGATGCAGTCTAAGGATCTTCAAGGAAATTCAGCAGGGCATCTTATAGATAGTACAAACTGCTGCCACCAAGTGTTGGTGGTGGAAGAGGTGGATGCTTATGCATGCAGTGCCAATCATGCAGGCTGCTTTGTCCTGGATGCTGTCAAGCTTCTTGAATGTTGTTGGAGCTGCACCGATCAATCAAACTCCTGATTCGTGCCTTGTAGATGATGAACAGGCTTTAGGGAGTCAGGTGAGTTACTCACTGCAGTATTCCCAGCCTCTGATCAGCTCTTAAAGCCTCTGTGTTTGTGTAGCGAATCCAGTTGAGTTTATGCTCAATGGTAACCCCCAGGATGTTGATAGTGGGTGATTCAGTGATGGTAACAACATTCAATATCAAGGGCCATTGATTACCTTGAACTGGAGATGGTCGTTGCCTTGCATTTGTGTGGTGCAAATGTTATATGCCATGTGTCAGCCCTCGCCTGGATATTGTTCAGATCTTGTTGCATTTGAACATGGACTGCAGCATTGAACTTGATGATTGGTTTAAAAAATGAAATACTGTTAAACCTTTTCATCATGCACACATCAGTACAGAATTGTAAGAACGTCAAATCTCAGAGGTAACAACAATTTATACTGTGACGAGAGGGTACTGATTAGTCAATGTCTTGCCATGGGGATAACTGCAGGTAATGGCTGTCCCCCAAGCTCCTGTTGGGAGATAAAGTTGTAATGAGTGGGCATGTTCTTTCTGTTTTCTCTGTTTACAGCATGCAGATAAATGTGGGCTCTAACATGCATTAGTGAGCTACACTGACAGCTGGACTGTTCAGTTTAAAACTGGTTGTTAAGCGAAATTTGTAGTATAGTCGGGATTATTTACCAAGTGTTATACAATTGTGAAATCACATCTAAATTCAGACATTATGTTCTGAGTTTTGCAAGCATTGGTTGGTTAAGTAAAGTCAGTACATTGCCTGTCCCAAATGACCAAAGACACTTTGATATATTTCACCAGTCACTGGGGTATACAGCCTACATACTCTCATCTTAGCAATGCTGACATTTCGTATTCTCACAATCCTGTCCTGATGAATTATTATTTCATATCTCCAGCATTGAGTATTTCACCATAAATCATCATTATATCCTGACATAGCAACACCGCTCAAATGATTTGTGTGCCATGTGCGAACACCCAATTATCTGAAAAAGAATATTTCTTTCAAAAGCAAGCAGTATTGTATGATGTCCATTTTTGTAACAAATCAGAATGAAAAAATCTTCAAATTAGTTAAACGTTAAGAAAGAACTTGTTAAATTAGTCACTTATTGCAAATAAATGGTGTGATACTTTTAATCCATTTTTTAACAAAGAATACAAACACATGTACACTGCAAATCTCTTGTCGAGAAAATAATTTGAAAATGAACAGGAATAGAAACTTTTGGATTGTGCTACTACCATTCAACACTTTAAAAAACTGACCATTCATGAAAAAACATGCACAAATTTATGACATTTTTATTTATTATATTCTTCCAGTACAATGAAAACATGTCAATTATTAAAATAAATTACGTTTTTTTTTAAACAAAGTATATCTGTTTCTAGTTTTTATAGTTGAGAATACCTAAAGGCCACATAACCCCAGATGACATAAACTTGAGAGCACAAGTTAATAATCCCTATTTTTCTTAAATACAAGACCAAAGTTGTTGAGATGAATGTCCATATGTCTTAACTCATTCACCAAGACAAGATCATGCTTTTACTTGATTTTTTTGAAGAATCAGATATTTACAGGGATTTACAGTACACAAGGTATTCAATGTGGTATGTTTCAACATGAACGGTCACTGACAATCACTTCTGTACAAATTAAAATCTTCAGGGGTTTCCTGTTAAAAGGTTTAGTATACAATATAGTACATACACCCAGAAAAACCAGCAGAAACAAGTCAATCGATCTCTTAAATTGTGTTTTTTCTAATTCACAACATCAAAAGGAAGATATAATTTCTGAGGTAATTACTTATTGTGTAACATCACAAGCATGTTTTCTTTGTGGGTATCTCTTAATCTCTCTGCAATTCCAATTGAGAATTATCATATCACCATTGAGTACCATCTGCTGAAATTAGGTCATCAAGTACCATTTCCTTGTCATGATAAAAGAGTGTTAAAATATTAAAATATTGAATTCCACATTTCAGATTAAGGCCAACGTGGGGTTTTTTGGGTTACCTCCTCTTCTCTGCAACCTGCTCCACATCCTAACAGCCCCCGGACTCTCCTAGTAGTTCATGGTCCTTTCATGTTTTCTGGAGGTGGCGCCCGTAAAGCTTGTGTGCAGGCGGAGGCTTCACAATATCCAGGAATCCCTGCACGACCAGGTGGACCAGGGATACCAGGCTGACCACTCTTTCCAGGTAAGCCCCTAGAACCATCACGACCGTCTCTACCAAAGCTATTTTTCCCAGGCTCCCCTGTAACACCGGAAAGCAATGAGATGATCAATACTGCATGCAGAGTACCAACAGATTGCTAACCTTTGGCATTCCATCCTGATTGGTTTACTTCTTAAATGCTCCTTCACTATTTCCTCTAATGGGAAATCAAGATCAAGGACCTTAAACCTAGAGCTCATCCATTCTGCAGGAGCACTTTTATCATGTGATGGGTCGTGCAGATCTTCATTCCGTCATGCTATTGTAGATGCTGGGGGACAACTGAAGTTTTCTAAACAAAGACTGACAAATTTTGGAAACAAACACAGAGAATGCTGCAGAACCTCATCAGGTCTGGCAGCATTTGTCTAGCGAAATACAGAGTTAACATTTCGAGTCCGGTATGACTTCTTCAGAACTCTTAATTCTCAAGGGCAATTACAGATGAGAAATAAATTCTGCTCCATAGAGTGAAGCCGATGTCCCATCAGTAAATTTAAAAAATGGATTTATATTATACAGAATGATCCATGTAGAGCAAATGAAATTGTAAAATTAATTCCTTTATTCTATTTGTCAAACTGTTATGATGACATTTACCTGCTTCTTTTAATAGACAGGAGGTAGATTCAAAAGTGATGATAATCTGTGATCCTTCCCCATTATACTAAACTGACAACACTGGACATTTTGATATGACTGCACAAGGTGGATCCCATAAAAAGGGAATGACCTAGTCATGGTATCTTTAAAAAATGGTCTCAACTTTCTTACTTGTCTATGAAGAACACAAAAGACAATCACAGAGAAAAACTGTCTTCAAATCTTTATAACCCCAAAAAGAAAGTAATAAAGTGAAGCCACTTGAGATGCTAGAATTGTTTTCCCATACCTGGTTGACCTTGTTGTCCTGGCAACCCCCTGGGTCCTCTTCCAGGAAATCCTCTATCACCTTTTTCTCCTTGTTCACCTGCATAGAAATTCATGTTGGATAAGAATATGGACCTAGTGAGGAAACTGTCATTACAGACAAAACATACAAGTTTAAAAACAGAACAAGCTTAAAATATGTTTTCAATCTTAGAGTGGGTATACCGTGCTACTACCAGGTAGCAGTAATAATCTTCATTTGCTTTCTGTAATTTGACAGAACTAGTTGGAGTTGAAAAAGAATTACAATGTAGAACAAGGTAAAGAAGTGACTGCAGCTTAATGACACTATGATTAGGTTTTCAAAACTTGTAGATTATGTGATGAAGGGAAGTTAGAAAGATAGGTATAGTTCAAAGAAAGTGGAAGAACAGAGCTTGGCAATTATTTCAAGATGACATACATTAGGATGTTCTTGGAGACATCAGTATTACACCAACTACTCTAAGCTATAGCGCTTATTCTAAAAAGTTCTTTGCCAATCCAAAATCTTCTATTGTTGATATGTTTGAATAAAAAACAACACTGTAATATGTCAATCTTGCAGAAACATGTCTGATTACCGTGCTGTTTTGTTCAATCTTACCTTTTTGTCCTTTATAACCAATTATACCAGCTGGACCTTTGAGGCCAGTAAGACCACGAGGCCCTGGTTGTCCAGGGAAGCCATTTTCTCCAGCTGGTCCTGGGGGCCCTGGGGGTCCAGGACGTCCTGGCAAACCCATGATACCAGTTTCAGGTCTCCTAAGGCTGGCAGCCAAATGAGCCAAGTGTTCTAAAGGAGAATACAAATTTGTAAGTTGCCCAAAATCAACAAAGTACACAATACCGATAAGAAGAATTAAAGGTATATCATATTTTTGGCACATAATTTCTTAGCATAACACCATTGTATTACATAGAATATACAGCACAGAAACAGACCAGTCAGCCCAATTAGTCCATGTTCATGGTCCAATGAGCCTCCTCTCATCCCTTTTCATCTAATCGTATCAGTATATTCTTCTAATCTCATTCCCTCATTTCTATCTAATATTCTTTGAACATAACACTGGTATCCATTTTAACTACTCACCAAGTGCTAAGTTATACCTTATGCTGGAATTAGTATATCTAATTTTTTTCTGTATTCAATTTCAAAATCTCAATGCATTCAGATCTTAGTTTTCAATATAGGGATTCTTTTCTGGTAACAAAACATTATGATAGCAGAATAACGGTATTTAGTTAGCTGTAAAGAGAAACATGCTGTCAAAGATTTCCATCTTACACTCCAGAACAAATGCAAGAATGCCAAATTTCAAACAATAGCAACAAGCTATGGTACAGGAGAAAACAGTGCTCAAGTTGACTGTGGTTGATCGAGGAGCAAGAAACAGGGAACTGAGGATCATCAAGATCCTTGTTAATTCAAAAAAAGGTTCAATGTTTGAACATATTCTTTTTGTTTACAGAGAATTGGTTGTCACTATAGCTATTAACACACACAAAAGTCTTTAGCAAACACTGCCCAACTGCATAATCACATCAAACATGAAAGAGTTTGTTTTGGGTTTTGCAAGTGCAAACTACTGTTATGAACAACATGGAGCAATAATTAAAGAACATTTTGGTGATTTGATCAGTCAATCATTCAGACGTAACTGGCATAGCAATGGCGCTGAATTCATAGACAATGCTGATTAATTGTATGGCAGGCAGAACATCTTTTGGTTATGATAGTAGACTCCTGTGAGTGGAAAATACCAATTTGGCATTCTTGTGTTTGTCCTGATAAGTGAAAGAAGTCACATGACACCAGGTTATACTCCAACAGGTTTATTTGGAATCAGACAAGCTTTTGAAGCACAGTCCCTTTGTCAGGTGCAGCTGACGACAGGGCTGCGCTCTAAAAGCTTGTCTGATTCCAAATAAATTTGTTGGACTATAACCTATTGTCTTATGACTTCTGACTTTGTCCACCCTAGTCCAGCACCTCCACATCACTCATAATTGAAAGATGGAAAACTTTGGCAAAAAACTGTTTCTCCTTTCAGCAAATAAGTTAATTATGTAAAAATTTCACGGAGGTATTTTCTTTGTGTTATGTTTTTATTTATTTCTCATTTCTGATATTAGCAATCTAATTATATGGAAGATAATCAGCACGGCTTTGTCAAAAGGAAGTCATGCCTAACAAATCTGGTGGAATTTTAAGGAGATGGATGGTGGTAGGGCAGTTGATGTAGTTCGTATGGATTTCAGCAAGGCCTTTAACAAGGTCCCACATGTGAAACTGATAAAGAACGGGATAGGATCCAGGATAACTCTGCAAAGTTATGTGCCAAAAATATGACATGCCTTTAATTCTTCTTATTGATCCAAAATTGGTTTACTGATAGGAGAAAGAGAGTGGTGATAGAAGGCTGCATGTGTGACTAGAGTTTAATCTGCTTCAGCACACCATAGGAATCAGTGTTGGGTTTCTTATTGTTTGTGATCTTCATAAATGATGTAAATGAATGTGGGAGGAACGATAAGTAAGTTTGCTGATGACACTGAGATTAGCTGGGTGGTTGACAGTGAGAAGAAAGGTTTTGGGGCTACATGAGGATATAAACGGATTGATCAGATGGACAGATCAATGACATATGGAACTTAACAGATAAATGTGAGGTGATTCACTTTGGAAGAAGTCACAAGAAAAGGGAATACTCAATGAATGGCAAGACACGAGGAAGCTCAGAGGAACAAAGGGATTTTGGGGTGCATATCAGAGATCCCTGAAGGCAGCAGGACAGGTTAACAGGGGATCAAGAAGGTATATAGGATGCTATCCTTAATCAGTTGTGGCACAGATTGTAAGAGCAGGGAGGTCATCTTAGAGCTGTACAGAACTTTGGTTAGGCCACAGCTCCAGTATTGTGTGCAATAAGAACGATGCTATTGAACAGTGGAGTGGCCGTAGAGGAGATTCACCAGCATGTTGAGTGGTATGGAGCATTTTAGCTATGAAGAGAGGGTAGATAGGTTGTTTTCTTTGGAACAGAGTAGGTTGAGGCGGAACCCAATAGAGATGCATAAGACTATGAGGAGCATGGACATGGTGAATAGAAAGCAGCTGTACCCCTTAGTTTAAGGGTCAATAACAAGGAAGCATAATTTTAAAAAGAAAGTCAGGAGGTTTAGTGGGATTTGAGGAAAAGGGTTTTCACCAAGAGGGTGCTGGGGGTCTGGAACACTGCCTGGTATTTGAGGCAGGAAAATTCACTTGAAGTGTTATAACATTCAAAACTATGGGCCTCGTGTGGAAAAGTGGGAATAGTATAGATAGAAGTTTATTTTTGGCAGTACAGACATGATGGGCTGAAGGTCCTCTTCCATATTGTATGATTCGATGATTAAACCATGAGGAATTAGGTTAGCTATTGTGTATTTTCACATAAAATTGTACAAGTAATATAGATTTGAGAATCACAAGTTTAATTTCTGAATCTGTGGATAACACCATAATGGGGGATTTCAATGTTTAGGAGGACTGCAGCAAATTAAAGGAAGACATTAATAAGTATAAGGAATGGGTGTATACATTGGCAAATGAACTTTGTGAGGTGGTGCTTTCTGCTTCAGAGAATGTGGAAGCCTCATACTTCTTGAAAAGCAAATTCAAAATGGAGTATCAAAAATGGAATGATCTGGGACTACACCTACACAAATCGGTAAAAGTAACAATGTGAGTTAATAAGATTGCAAAAATTGCAAATGATCCACTGTGGTTCAACAGACTTTTTAGAATCCCTGCTGTGTGGAAACAGGCCATTCAGCTCATCAAGTTCACACCAACCCTCTGAAGAGCATCCTATCCAGATGTCTCCCTGTAACCTTGCATTTTCCATCGCTAACCCACCTATGGGGCAATTTAGAATGGCCAATCAACTTAACCTGCACCTGTGGGAGGAAACCCATGCAGACATGGGTTGAAAGTGCAAACTCCACACAGTCGCCCAAGGGTGAAACCAAACCCGGGTCCCTGGCACTGTAAGGCAGCAATGCTAACCACTGAGCCACCGTCCCACCCCTCTCAAAAATTCAAAGCCATCAGAGATTATGAGAATAGTGAGGAAAAATGACACTGTTCCAGAAGATCAGCCATGATCTGTTTAAATGGTGGAGCAGGCTGGAGGTGTCGAAGGTCTACTCTGTCCCTATTTCCTATGCTCCCATTTACCTATAATACAGTTCCAGAGAGACAGAATTCAAAAACTAACAAGTTTGCATTAAATTCCTATCAAACTTTATCCATGGCAATAAAAAGAATATTCAGAAAATGGAGAGGCTGCAGAAGGATATGTTAATGTGGCACTGTAACTGTAAAGAAAAAATCACAGTTAATGTTTCGAGTCCGGTGACCCTTCCTCAGAATTGTGATAGTGGAAGGATGCTTGACGGACTGGGGGCTGTTACGAGTGGTGTGCCTAATGGGTTGGTACTGGGCCCGTTGCTGTTTTATATCTATATCAATGATTTGGATGAGAATGTACAAGGCATGATTAGTAAGTTTGCAAATGATACTAAAATAGGCGGTATCATGGACAGTGAGGTAGGTTGCCAGAAATTGCAGCAGGATCTTGATCAGCTGGGGAAGTGGGCTGAGAAATGGCAAATTCAGTTTAATATAGATAAGTGTGAGGTGTTGCGTTTTGGAAAGTCAAATCAAGGTATGAGTTTCATGGTGATTGGTAGGGCCTTAAGGAGTGTAGTAGAACAGAGGAACCTTGGAGTGCAGGTACATGGTTCTCTGAAAGGTAGAAAGGGCGGTGAAGGAGGTATTTCGCACACTGGCCTTCATCAGCCAGGACATTACATACAGAAGTAGGGAAGTTATGTTACAGTTGCACAGGACGTTGGTGAGGCCACACTTGGGAGTGTTGTTGGTGAGGCCACACTTGGGGGTTCAGTTTTGGTCACCTTGCTATAGGAAGGATATTATTAAATGGCAAAGAGTGCAGAAGAAATTTACAAGTACGTTGCCAGGACTCAAGGGACTGAGTTATAGGGAGCTATAGGGATTCTCTTCCAGGCATGCCCACCTTGAAAAAGTTCTGCTCCTATCTCCAACAGGATTTCCATTCCAATCTTTCTTCTTGCCCATCCGTTCTGAGGAAGGGTCACCAGACCCGAAACATTAACTCTGTTTTTTCCTTCACAGATGCTGCCAGACCGGCTGAGTTATAGGGAGAGGTTGGGCAAGCTAGGGCATTTTTCTTTAGAGCATAGGAGACTGAGGAGAGATCTTATAGAAATGTATAAGATCCTGAGAGGCATGGATAGGGTGAATGCACTCAGTCTTTTTCCCAGGGTTGGGGAATCAAGGACTAGAGGGCATCAGTTTAAGGTAAGAGGGGAAAGAATAAATGGGAATCTGAGGGGCAACTTTTTTACACAGAGGGTGGTACGCATATGGAATGAGCTGCCACCAGATGTGGTTGAGGAGGGTACATTAACAACATTTAAAAGGCATTTGGACAAATACATGGGTAGGAAAGGTTTAGAAGGATATGGGGCAAGTGCAGGGAAATAGGGTTAACGTGGATGGACATTTTGGTCGGTATGGACCCATTTATGCCAAAGGGCCTGTCTCCGTACTGTAGGACTCCATGATTCTATGACTGAGAGATACTAAGACTCTATGACTTCTGTGCTATAAATTTATTGCAACCAATACTACCAGGACAGATTATCTGATCACTGATCACATATTTATAACCTTTCAGTACGCAAAACAGGATTGATCAA